TTGTGCAGACAATTTGGGGGCATAGTTTCTTACAGCTGGTACTGGCATCTGCTGGACAACAAAAACCATTCCTTCCATTTGCAATGTAAACAAAAAAATATAAATTTTGAAATATAGAAAGTTGTTAGAAACCATCTGTCAGACTGTAAAGCGCTCCAGGACGCTACCCTGCATGATGGGCGCTATATAAATACAAGTTGTTGTTGTACTTGATACGCTTTATAGACTTACCTACATCTGTAAGGTCTGTCACATTCAGAACGTGCTAGAAGTAAGTAGAGTGGGGCATCTTCCTGATGTGAAAGCCAGAGCCTTCTAAATGGCGGGAGCAGAGAGGGAGCAAACAGGTCGATGTGGGGTTCGCAGTTCACAGAGATAGGGAGGAGCAGGGCTCTGGAGGGGGAGTTAAGCTATCATCTGGGGGACGGGGAGCCAGTGGAGCCAGGCGAGGATGGAGGTTTGGGGGCTATAGATTCATAGAGCCTGGTGGAAGAGAGAGGAAACATTGGGGTGGGGGATGACATGGTGGGGGAGAAATACAGGTGGGTGGAAGAACACGGGTGGAAGGGGTGAGAATTATCTGTAATTTAAAATTCTTTATTGTGTTCCTAAAAGTGGTTGGTTTGTGGCCAGAAACAGCACAACTGATCAACCATCTGGGTTAGGAGGTTGGGCTTAAGCCATATATTGAGCTCATAGTTGAGGCTGACACTCCAATGGAATGCTGGGTGAGTGCGACATGTCAGAGATATTATCCTTTGGATGAGACATTTGCCTATAAAGATGGTAAACATCCTGTGATACAATCGGTAAAGAGAAGGGAGATTTCTCTGGTGCCTTGGCCAATAATCATCTGGATAAATCATCATTTATAATAATGTAGGACTTTGCTGTGAGCAAATTGGCTGCCAAGTTTGTATAAAAACCTACACTAAACTTAAAACAATTACTTTACTGGAAGCATGTCAAGTAAAGAACTTTGAGATTATTCAATTTTATACGTATCAAATATTATTTCCTTACTCGCACCCAACAATGTTCACATTTGCACTTATGTTACTATGGTTTTGAAACCAACTATACACTTGACATTATTGGCCAATTAACATTGTGAAATGTTTGCCAACTTGCACAATTAAAATTTGGAAATGTTTTACTTTTGTTATGATGTAAATTTCTGAATCGTTTCTGCCACCAGAACAATTTTTTGACACTACTAAGACATTACAATTTTACCAGTCTATTAAGTAAAATCCATCTCTCTCTCTCCTGAATTAAGTTAACTTTCTAATGTTGCCTAATTTTCATTTATTATAGTTTGAGTGTTTTTGTCTAAGAGATAGGATATGAATGTTTCATCAAAGTGATTTTTCCCTTATATCCTGTATCATGATACAACTAGGATACAATTCATCCAACACCATTCCTTCTCTTATTATCTCCTTGCAGTACTCATTTTGTTTTTTTTGTAAGCTGCGTGCCTGACACATTTAGAAACTCGCTTTAGAGTGAGCTCTATGTATCCCACCTAAAAATGGAAATTCTAGAGATGTTTATTGGAATGTGCACTTTCTCTCTGGAGGGATGCATCCTGATTACCTAATTCTAGAGAGTATTAAATGTAGGTTGGTAAGAACCAAAACTTGGGGACCCCAGAGTGTGCATTGGGTACTGCTGGAGTCTAACCAGTTAAACCGTTGAAAGCACTGTCTGGCAAACTTTTTCACTGCTTGTCTAGCGAGGACCACCCTACCTGTTTGGGCTTTGGTTTGCAGGAGTAGCAGAGCTGAGTGGGAAGAGTACCTTCCCAGAGTGACCTGCCACATTTCAAGTCGTGTTAACGAACCAGACTGACTTGGCTGTCATTGGGATACTGCGGACCCACCTGGCTCATAAACTTATTTTGTTGTTGACATCTGAAATTCTTACGGTCTCAGCCTTAATGTTAAGAAGATTTTTTTAATTTCAAAGCAGTTCTTATAAAATTAAAACATTTTTAACACTAGCATTTTTCGAAACTTTGTTTTTCCATCCATTCCATGTTTTATAAGGAGAACAATATCCAAACTTCAAAATTACTTGGTGAGTAATTCGTAAATGTATTACTCTTTTGCCATAGTTCAGTCAAATTTCCTACATTCAATTCTAACATATTACAGTAAGTTCCTTATAACAAGACCCTGACTTAACTTAAGTAACCATACTGTCAATACCCCAGCGCCTTCTCATACAAAATATTAATACAACAACAAGATTACATTTGTATAGCGCTTTTCACGTCGGGAGGACGTCCCAAGGCTCTGACAAAATATTAATAATAATTCTTGCATTTGATATAGTTCCTTATCACATCTTCTAGATGTCTCAAAGCGCTTCACAAAACATACTGTAAAGTGAATTGACTGCCTATATTTTGTGGGCCAAATGCGGCAGCCAATTGCACACAGCAGTGTCCGACAAACAGTCGTGGATTGAGTGACCAAATTATTATTCTTTTTATTCATTTTTGAAGGAATTATTATCCCTGAAAAAGCAATCCGCCAATCAACTAACAATCAGGTTCCTACTTACTGCTAGGTAAACAGAGGTTTGTGGAGTAAGGAAACTTGCCCAACGTTTCACCCTGCCGGGGAATCAAATCCAGGTTCGCTTGCGAAGCGAGTGCTCTAACCACTAAGCTGCAGGACTCCATATTAATAAGGGACTCCACATTATTTGTCACTCTGTTTTATATGTAATTAGTCGCATTCTAGAAATGCTTGTAAGTACTTAATTTGGATAACTCATCCTGTAAGATGACGTCTTGCAACGGAGAGGCCCGCTGCCCTATCCTGTGATTGGTGTGGGTGGAGTTTAGGCAGGCATGCTCAGATGCATCGCAGAGGCCTCTGGTCTATTCGATGGTTGTGGTGTGGCCTTTTGCCTTGCCTCCAATCCTATTCTGTGGCAGGATAGGGCAGGAGTCCAGGACACGGCCCTCGAACACACAAGAAGCCTCTGAACAGGATAGTGTGGGAAGTCTCGGCGCAGACCTCTAATCGACCAGAGGCCTCTGCGATGCATTTGAAATGGATTCTGATGAGTGCCCGATCAATCACTGTGACTCCTTGTGGACTGAGAGGACCTATGCCTATCTCGCCCACTCTGGATAACTAGTCACCGAGCCTATTTCCCTTGGAGTGACGAGTTACCAGGAGTTGACTATATTTCCTTTACAACAACAACAACAAGATTTCATTTATAGAGGGCCTTTCACGTCGGGAGGACGTCCCAAGGTGCTGTACAGTTGGATCGGGACCCAAGCAGGGGGCAAATAGTCAGGGTGAGGGGAGGGAAGGGAGGGAGCGAGGAGGGGATAGAGAGTCAAGAGGGGAGCTGAAGGCACGGTCGAAGAGGTCTTGAGACCGACCTTGAAGGAGGAAAGGAAGGAAGCAAGACGAAGGCACTGGGGGATGGAGTTCCAGAGCCTAGGGGCTGAGAGGCTGAAGGCCCGGCCACCAATGGTAGGGCAGTTGGGGCGGGGGATGTGGAGCAGGCCAGAGCCAGAGGAACGGAGGGTACGGGCAGGTAAGTAGGGGGATAGTAGGTCGGAGAGGTAGGAAGGAGCAAGGCCATGCAGGGTGGGGAAACGGGTTTGAAGGTGTTTAGGGGAGGATGGGTAGGAGTCACGAGTGTGGGAGGGAAGGGGTGGGGGGTGGGTGGAAGTTGGAGGGGAAGTGACCGCGTAGCGGATTCCCTTGATTTTTGATTCAAGAAAGTCCAGCATCTCCTCGCAGTGAAGGTTGGAGGAGATGACCTGCGCGGGGTGGCGGGGGGGATGGAGGAGTCGGGATGTGGTAGAAAACAGAAGCCTGGGGTTGTTCTTCGCCTCCAGGATTATCCTGGAGTAGAAGAACGATTTGGCCGAGGCTAGAGTGGAGCGGTAGATTTTGAGGAGGTCCAGCCAGATTTGTCGGTGGACATTTGGCCAGATTTGAGGCAGATGCGTTCAGCGGCCCGCACCTGGCTCTTCAGTGAGCGGAGGTCGGTAGTGAACCAGGGGGAGAAGCGAGAGTAGGAGACAGTACGGGAGGTGAGGGGGGCAACAGTGTTGAGTGTGGAGGAGAGGGTGTTGTGGAGGAGGGTGAGAGCAGAAGAGGGGTCAGCGAGTGATGAAGGCCAGAGGGAGAGGAGTTCACAAGATTTTTTTCTGCTTCTATAATCTCTGTGCCACAACAGTTACTGCAGTATAAAGTAACTCACTCATGTGAAGATATTTGGAGGTGATAAGGCACAATATTAAATGCATGGACTGTTGTTCTCTGGGACACTGTCCTGCGTGAGGGGCACTGTGCAATTAAATACAAGTTGTTGCATTCATTTGACACCACTTGGTGCTGCTGCAAAGCCCCGTTTGCTTCCCTTTGCTTTGGAAAGAACTACTCCTTTGCATCGATTTCTCCTTCGCTAATTCGTTGGGTTTTTTTTTTGCGTTTTTTTTTAAAAAAAATCAGCCCCGTTCTGCCTTTTTTTCTCCTTCTTCACAGCACCGCTCTGCGTGACCAGAACCGACCCTCTGCGGCTTTCCTCCCCCACCACCCCCGCACCCCCGACCCCACCCCCGCACCCCCACGGGATTGTTTCATTCTGTTGCTCTCTGGTTTTGTCGGATGTCCCCCTCTGTGGCTGATCCCCATTCTTTAAACGCTTCTCTGTTGCACATCGCAGAGGCTGAAGCGAATCGCAGGATCGCCTCTAATCATCAGATGCTGCGGGATCTCAGCAGTCAGCCGCAAACTTAAGGGTTGCACTGGCAATTCAGCCAATTGCATGCGACTGGGGGGGTGGTGGGGGGGTGTTAAGGGGGGAGGGGGGGGGTGTGTGTGGGGGAAATGTAGGAAATGCAAAATAAGTGAGATCAAAGGGAACCGCAGAGCGGAAGAGCGCCATTGCAGCTCACAGTCCGGGAAGGTATTTAACGCTGTGGTTTGTTGTTGGGGGGGAAACACAAACCTTACAAGAGCCGCAGGAGAAGTCCAGACCCCCACCGGCACAGCATGTCTTTGTCCTGGAAAAGTTGGCTCTCCAACGAGGGTGGAAAACATCTGGTTTTGGTAGGACTTTTGCTGTTTTACCCAAACCGGTCTCCTTCACAATTCGATCCGCAACGAATTCGTAAAAACTTTTTTTTTTTTTTTGGGGGTTAAACTGAGTTACTTAACTGGTGTTCTCGCACACGACGTGCACTTTTAGAAGCAGTTCTTGGTAACTGTGTGTTTTTTTTATTCCTCCCCTCCCTCCCTCCCCCCCCTCTCTCTCTCTCTCTCTCTCTCATCTGTTTGCAGCTTTTCTGGTTGGCGATCAACGTACTGCTCTTTTGGAAAACATTTACTCTTTATTACTACGGTCCGCAGTATTATTACTTACATCGGATGCTTGGGGTAAGTGCAACAACAGATCAGTGTTCGATGAATGAATGAGTGAGAAAGTTTGCGAGAAGCGATGCAGATTTTTGCTGCAGTGAAATTGACGAGATGTGCATTTGTCAGTAAAGATGACTCGACTCCAGGAATCCGAGAGGGTTATTCTTGGCAGAGAGTTGAGGGTAACATGTTGTCTGGGAGCACACTATTTCCACTCCCTGACTTGAATCGTTGCACGTATTCGTGATTGTTTTCGTGTTAAGCAAAAGATATTCGGGACAAGTCATAATGGGACATCCTCTGATTTTTGCTTTGTGGAAAAAGTTTCCCCCAACAGAAAGAATTGTCAATTTGGATTAACACGACTCCTTTGTTTGGAGCTGCAAAAAAAAAAGGGCTCTCTGTGGTCAATCGTTTCATGTCACTGGGAATGAATTGACCTGAACGATTTGCTGACGTCGTGGGTTTAAATGCACTTGGGAACACAAAGGAAGTACTAAGTAAAAAGCACTGCAAAGGCATTCGGAGTAAATTAAATGTTCCTGTCAATACAATGAACGTTTTTGGCAGAGTCTGGACTGCCAGCAGAGGTCCAACACAGGGCTGCACACAGTGTGGGTAGCGATGTGAGAAGCACAAAGCATGGCTGCAAAAATCAAACGTGCCAAATATCACACAGTGGTGGTTATCCTGGAAACAAGTCGGGGTTAATTCACTGCAAATGTGATCCAAGTATGGTTTTCTGGGGGTGCCACTCCAAATGATAAGAGAAACCTTTCGCCACCTTACTAACATGTTTTGGTGCTTTTTAACTTGTTGAGCAGAAAGAACGTGACTGTTAAATAGAAAGGGACAACTTTGCACATCTCTTACTTAGTAAGAAATCCGACTTTAGTTTTCTGCAATTTTCTGAAGACGAGGGACAAACATTATATAGAGAGTTGGATAGGTTTAAGATGGCACTTTTTGACATGTGTAATTGTGAGGAATTTTATTTTCTCTGAAAATAAAGCATAAGAGTAACCCCCCCCTTAAGTTTGTTTCTCCATGTCATTATTTGCCTCTATTTTCTCCTAATGCAAGTTTTCTGCAGTCGCCAACAGCCCCAACAGCAGTCAAGAGTTAAAAATGATGCATAGAAACAACAAATCTCAGACTTCTTTCTGAGTCTTACAATAAATGTAGGATATAGGAAGGTAATATAGGAGGGTTTCACATATAATTATCAGTAACTGTAACCAACTGGCAATAGGTTTCGGGTTCAAATACTTGAAGAAAGTGTTTTTTTTATTTGCCTTTCATATTAGAAATGCCAGAGCCACTGTTACTGAGAAATCACTGGAGCTCGGGAATTTGGCCCTTTACACAGCAGAGCAGATTCCTCAGCAGAGATCAAATAACTATGCTTAATCAGTGGCCTACATGTCATAAATGATGACTTTTATTTTTTGGTTCAGGATCTTCTTCATTGTAATCTTATGGAATATCTATAGAGACCAACAGTGTGAAAACTGCATTGTGGACCAGTATGAATATGGCTGGAACCCAGCACGCCTGCAGTAAGAAAAATGGCAGCAGGTGCTGGGGGCAGCATACATTTCTACTATTTGTTTCCACTGGTACTGCTACTTTTGGAAAAACCTGAAACCTAGATTGATCTTAGCTCTTCTAAGAACAGCAGTGCTGCGTTCTTTACTCTATTGCGCTGTTAAAGCACTGTTGCGCTGTAGAATATCATTGAAAGAGAAAGGTTTTTTAAAAAAAGTGTGTTGTTGGGGGTTGGGGGGAATTGTGCATGTTTAATGCAAGTTAAGGGAAAAATGATCAGTCGCAGTACTAGTTTCAAGACCTGTGGAGCTATTATGTCGAGTGGAAGTAAATTATTGAATGAACTTGCATTTTTATAGCGACTATAATGTCAAATGTTGCAAAGTACTGAACAGTAATTACTGTCTTGTGAAATAACTATTTTTTGTGAGAAAATGTGGAAGCCATTTTGTTGATTCCAAAGTCCAATAAGCAGCCATTAAGTGAATGACCAATTCAGTTGGAGGATTGGGGGCCAGAACATCAGGATGAACTCCATTGCTTTTTGAATGGTGGAATCTTTTACATCCACCTGAAAAACAGGCAAGCAGTTTCTTCATTTTCCATCTCATCTGGAAGATGGCACCTCTGACTGTGCTCTCCCAATACTGCACTGGAGTGTCAACCCAGTGTGAGCTCAAGTGTGATCTCCGGGCCCAACATGGAGGCTTGAACCCACAACCTTCTGACACATATAGCAAGAGTGCTACGAATTGAACAAAGCTGAAGCCTATGAAAAGGGAGAGAAATTCCTTTTCTTTTCAAATAGTACCACCTGAACAGGCAGATGGGGACTTGGCTTCTTGTCTCATCTGATGGATGGCACCTCCAACAATGCAGCACACTGCATAGAAGTGTCAGCAGAGAATTGAACTTGATGCTTAGGTTGTGCTCGGGTTCAATTGAGGGACAGCTTAGTTAAGGAGGTCAGAGCTGTTGGTCGATGGGAGCCAAAAAGTTCGCCTTCTGTCTTTGTCTTCTATTGATATTATTGTTGTCCACATTCAGCTACAACCACAACAACTTGCACTTATATAGCACCCTCCACCCAGAGTAGTGCCTCAGAGCACTTAACAGTGGTGGAGCCTGACTCCGAGTCGGGGGGAGGTGGCTGTAAGCACAGTCAAAGAGGAAAGTTTTCAGGCGGGACTTGAAAGAGGGGAGAGAGGGGGCAAGGCGGAAGGATTGAGGCAGAGTGTTTCAGCGTTTTGGGGCAAAGTGGCTGAAAGCATGACCTCTGATGGTGGAACAGAGGGTGCAAAGGATGAGCAGGAGACCAGTGCCAGTCGAGCGGAGGTGCCGGGTGGTGGATTGGGGAGTGAGGAGGTCGGAGAGGTAGGGAGGTGCCAGGAAGTGAATGGATTTGAACGAGAGTGAGGATCTTGAAGTCGATCATTCGGTGATGGGGAGCCAATGGAGACTGACCAAAACTGGTGAGATGTGGGTATGGAGTTTGGTCTGGGTCATATGCAAGCGGCAGAGTTCTGGATGAGCTGGATCTTTTGAATGGTAGAGCTGGGGAGACCGGCGAGGAGTGTATTTGAGTAATCCAGGCGGAAGGTGACAAAATGCATGCCCTTTAGCTGCATTTGGGGTAAGGTACGGTCGGAGGTGAGCAATGTGGCGGAGGTGGAAGAAGGCGGTTCTGGTCAGGGACTGGATGTGGGGGAGGAAGGGCAGCTCATCGTTAAACAAGACGCCAAGGTTGCACACTGGTTTGGTGAGTCTGAGGGAAGAAGTTACAGAAAGTTGTTGCTCATCCAGGCCTTGATGTCTGACAAGTAAGTGGGCAGAACGTCAGTCAACTTGAGGTCACGTCTAGAGGAAGGAAAGTAGATTTACATCTACATGTATATGGAAGTTGACCCTGTGTCTGTGGGTGGCATTACTGCGAGGGAGCATGTAAATGAGGAAAGGAAGGGCCAATGATAGAGGCTTTTGACTCTGACACAACTTTTTGACTTGGGCGAGAGTGCTACAAACAGACCCAGGGTAATACACTAATGGATGGGGTGCCACAATTAGTTTCAGCGCTCCTGGGATAACGGGGGAATATCAGTCAGAATTGTTGCGCCTTATTGTTATGTAAGATTCCTACTGGAAAGTGTGCATGAGTGGGTGTTGGATGAAGACAAGATTGGGCTTGGCTGTGCTGCCTCCACACATGCAAATTGGCGGCTCCTTTCACCTACAATTCTCCTTTCTCTAGCTGTTCCCACACTGTCATTATGTGTGACAACAAAGTAGTTCCCTGATCAGACAAGATTTTGCTTACAAAGTACACTTTACAATAAATCCTGTGAAGCATTTTGTGACATCCTCCCTATGTGAAAGGCACTGTATCAAATGCAAGGATTATTATAAGAAACTTAGTTTGGTAACAAAAAAAGTTGTGAATCACTGCAGTACCAAGATTGAAAACAATAGCATAGAAAATTCAGAACTTCACAGCCCATATCATTTCCTGCATTGGGTTCCATGAGTCAATCTCTCCTTTGCTCGCTCCAATGGCTCCCTATTTCCCATTTGATCAACTTTAAAATCCTCAAATGCTTCCATGGCTTTGCCCCATTTTACCTCTGCAACTTCTGTGATTGTATTACCCTGGGCTCTCCCTTTGCTCTTCCATGCCAACTGTCCACTCTGTTCCACCATCAGTGGATGACTTTTCAGCCACTTTCTCCCCCCCCACCCCTCTCCTCTGGAACTATCTTCCAAAATCTCTCTCCCTCTCTGCTTTTGAAACCAATCTAACAACTATTTATTTAACTGTGGCTTTAATCTCCCCCCTACCCATCCCATCCGCACACACACTCCTGCTATCTTCCTTCCACGTCAGGCTCCCACCCAGGTTTGTAAGGAACTTTGAGACTTCCTGGCTGTGTGAAAGGTTCTGTATACGTTGTTGAGAATGAAATCAGTCAAGAATTAGTAGGTGATAACAAACTTACTCTTGAGAAGCCTGCAGATTATAGGACAAAGGGACTAGTAACAGTACAAAACGTGTGATGCATTTTGACGACAGTGTTGGGTAGGACAAAGTTTGAGTGTATTTCTTGTGTTTGTGTGTATTTCGTCATTTCTTTCTCTTGATTGTTCACAAAATTACTATTGATTGTTGCACCTTATCTGCTAGGGTCTAACACATTTTGAAGTATTTGTAACAAATTCAGTCTTTAAGAATAAAGCCAAGCTCTCTTAAAAGTACACATCTCCTAGTGTTGTATTCCGTTACAGAATGTTTCCCTTGGGACACATGTGTTTACTGTTTTTATGAAAGGGACACACGCACTGTGTATCAGCCTGTCTCAGTTGGCAGCCCTTCCTCCGCCCCACCGTGAGTAGGAAGATTGTGGATTCAAGCCTATGCTGACACTTCAATGCACTGTTGTCAGTCTGCTACATTGTCGGAGTGCCATCCTTCAGATGAA